TGTTTGGCGGGCCTGGGCTGGGGATTTGAACCCGCCACCTTAGGTGTATGTGGCTGGCGCCTTAGCCGCTTGAGCCACAGGCGCCGAGCCAGGATGTTTAATTCCTAGTGGGAAAAGCTTTTTGATTAAGTCATGCTTGAACTTCTTCTTCCTTCTTGTCCTGCAAGCAGGTACAGGAATTGAGTCCTAACCAGAACTAGACTATCCACCCGTCCTGAGAAGGTGTCTGTTTCTATACATAATAGCCAGTGTTGTGGCCCAGCCAATTTTGAAAGTAAGGAAGTGGCACAAAATCATACAAATTGAGAACTTATAGAAGGGAATGCCTCTTCACTACCAACCCTGAGTCATTACAATCCTTGAGAGAATTTTCTGGGGATGTGCTTCCCAAAGTAGCTATATAATGAAAATCAACTGAAAGTAGAAATTTAGAAGAGGCTGGGTGCAGTGCAGGCAGATTAGTTGAGCTCAGGAGTTTGAGACCAGCCTGAATATGAGCAAGACCCCCTTCTCTACTAAAATTAGAAAAACTAGCCAAATGTGGCTGGTACCTGTAGTCCCAGCTACTGGGGAGGCTGAGGAAAGAGGATTGCTTAAGCCCAAGAATTTGAGGTTGCTCTAAGCTATGATGAGGCCATGGCATTCTACCCAGAGAGTGTAAGTCTTACCAACAGAGTAACACTGTCTCAAAAAAAAAAAAAAAAAAGGAAAAGGAATTTAGTAAAATAGCTGAGTGTGGTGGCATGTACCTGTAGTCTCAGCTTAGGAGGAGTCTCAGTCTCTACTTAGGAGGATGAGACAGAAGGATCATTTGAATCCAGGAGTTTGAGGCTGTAGTGAGACATGATCTTGCTTCCACCCTGGCCATTCTGTCTCTAAAAAACAAATGAGTAAAATAAAAAGTAAAAAACAAAATATATTCTTTAAAAAAGGAAAATAAATTTAATATAAAAACTAAGACATTAACAAACAAGTCTTCCTTATTCTCTAGTTGATTTAATGAAACTCAATGATTTCATATTCTCCCACTTCTACAAATCTAAAAGTCACAGACCCTTTAAAGAGTTGGAAGGGAATGGAGAACGCCTTGAGCCTAAACACCTATACAGTGCAAAATCTCAGAAATAGGTTACCTTAGAGATGACCATTTTAGTTGTTGCTTGATTTAGAAATCTCCTACCTATCCCTTCTTTTGACATCTTTAATTGTCAGGAGGTTATTTTATGGTCTAAAATTTGACTCTCCATAATTTCTTTCTAGAACTTCTATCTCTTGCAACAAAGAAGAAAAACAAAAACTGTTTCTTTATGAGAAATAGTTCCTTTATCTCATATACCTCTAAATCTTCCCTTTTCCACATTAAACATCACCTTGTTTAAGGAGGCACTATAGTTTGGTGGAAGGAGGAGAGATGAAGAAATGAAGAGATGGGGTCCTACTTCTTCCTCTTATAATGACCAGCCTGGTAACTTTGGGTGAGCCACCTTACCACCCAGAGCCTCAGTTCCTTCCTTCCTTCCTTCTTTCCTCCTTTCCTTGCCTCCCTCCCTCTCTCCTTTCTTTTTTTTTTTTTTTTCAGAATCTCACTTTATTGCCCTTGGTGGCATGCCATGGCGCCAGCTCACAGCAACCTCAGACTCCTGAGCTCAAATGATCTCTTGCTTCAGCCTCCTGGGTAGCTGGGACTACAGGCACCCACCACAATGCCTGGCTATTGTTAGAGATGGGGTCTCGCTCTTGCTCAGGCTGGTCTGGAACTCCTAAGCTCAATCAATCCACTGGCTTTGGCCTCCCAGTGCTAGGATTACAGGCATGAGCCACCATGCCTGGCCACCTCAATTTCTTTCTTGTAATACAATGTGAGGGAATTGAACGTAGATGACCTTTTTTTCTTTTTTGAGAAAGATCTTGCTCTGTTGCCTGGGCTAGAGTGCAGTGTTGTTATCATAGTTCATTTCAGCCTCCCAAATAATTTGTACTACAGGCATGCCATCATGCCTAGATAACTTTTCTATTTTTATAAAGACCAGGTGTTACTCAAGGCAGTAGTCTCAACCCCTTGGCCTCAAGCAGTCCTCCCACTTTGGCCTTCCAAAGTGCTAGTTTTACAGCATGAGCCACTGCACCCAGCTGGACTTAGATGACCTTTAAGATTGTTTTCACAGCCTCATGGTGCACACTACTCAGGATGTTGAGATGGCAGGAGGCAGGATCCAGGAGTTCTAGTCCAGTATAGCCATAGCAAGACCTTGTCTCAAAAAAAAAAAGGAAAAAATTGCCTTCAATACTGGATTCTGTGGTTCTTAACTTTTCAGCTGAAGCTTATGTTAAGTGATTAAATGGGGCCATGTGTGGTGGCTCACACCTGTAATCCTAGCATTTTGGGAGGCTGAGTTGGGAGGACTGGTTGAGGCCAGGAGTTCAAGACCAGCCTGAACAAGAGTGTGACCCCCATTTCTATGAAAAAATAGAAAAATTAGCCAGGCATGGTGGTGCATGCCTATCGTCCCCCCTACTTGGGAAGCTGAAGCAGGAGGATTCCTTGGCAGTTCAAGGTTGCAGTAAGCTATAAGGACTCCACTGTACTCTAGCCTATACAACATAGGAAGATCCTGTATCAGGAAAAAAAAAAAAAGAGGTTAAATGGTCTGATTTGTCATCTTCTGTCTGCCCTCTTGTGGACATTGTTTTGGGAAGAAAGTAAGATATTTAATTTCCTAAGAACAATATAGTGACCCTCCCCCAAATTTCCTTGCCTCCCACAGCTTATTTTCAATTATTCATGTTTTCTTCTAGTTCTCATCCATACATTTACCTCATTTTATAAGGATTTAATTTTATACTGTTTTTCTCCTTCACTGATAATGATGTCTTTATAGTAAAATGTAAAAATGCCTATGAATTAATAAGCAACTTTTTATATGACCATAAAGACTTTGTGGCCACGCATGGTGGTCACACCTGTAATCCTAGCATTTGGGAGGTGGGAATTCTACCATCAAACCACCTGTGCTATCCTAGCATTTTGGGAGGCTGAGGTGGGAGGATGGCTTGAGGCCAGGAGTTTGAGACCAGCCTAGGCAACATAGTGAGTCCCTATCTCTACAAAATAATAAATTTAACTGGATATAGTGGTGTGTACCTGTAGTCCTGGCCGCTCAGAAGATTGAGGTAACAGGATTGGTTGAATCCAGGGGTTCGAGGTTGCAGTGAGCTGTGACTGTACCACAGCACTCCAGCCTGGGCAATGGAGTGAGAGCCTGTCTCTAAAAAATAAATTTACAAAAGGCCTTTTCATTATATATATTTAATTGAGGTATAATTTGCATAAAATTCACCCCTGTATACAATTTAGTAATTTTAAGTATATTCACGACCTTGTGCAGTCATTGCTGCTATATAATTCTAGAATTCTTTCACTATCCCAGAAAGAAATCCCCTACACAAGAGAAGAAGGTGAAGATGGCAGCAACTGGGGCAGGAGTCTTGAGAGTCTGGTGGCTGCAAATGGCAGTCTGGAACATGGTACCATGGGTACATGGACAGCCTCCTACATTACCAAGGACATGCTCCCTGGGTCCTATCCTAAGACCCTAGAGGAATGGGCCACTGCTACTATGCATGTGGAAGACTATGAGCTTTGACTTGCATGATGGCATGGGACCTGGTGACTGCCAGGTCTTGCTCACAGCAGAGGGATCCAGGTATGACTAAGATCGCTCATACCTGATGTTGAACTGGGGTAAAACTGATGTTCTGGGGCCTATGCTTGAGTATCAGGCATGTCTCTCACACCTGTTTCTTGGACTATCACATACAAGCAGCTCTTTGGCTTCATGACCTTTATAATGTGGGACCAAAGGAATATCCTTATAATAATCTATACCTAGAATCAGGTTCTGATCTTACCAAAGAACCTGACCTGGTGGTTAACTGGGAGATCTAAGGAGGTTTTGCTGGCTTTTATGCCCTCTTAACTGAGACTCTGTCATTCCTAGAAATTTAACCTTAATGGAAATTCTGATAAAACTTAGTGCTGTAGAAAAAAAGAGAAAGAAACCCCATACTCACTGGCAATCACTCTCCATTCCCTCCTCTTTCCAGACTCTGGAAACATTAACCTACTTTCTGTCTCTATAGGTTTGACTATCCTGGACATTTATTTTTATTTTAATTAATTACTTATTTATTTATTTTGAGACTTTTTTTTGAGACAGTCTCACTTTAACACCCCTTGGTAGAGTGCTGTGGTGTCATAGCTCATAGCAACCTCAAATTCTAAGGCTTAAGTGATTCTCTTGCCTCAGTCTCCCAAGTAGTGGGACTGCAGGCGCCGGCCACAACACCTGGGTATTTTTAGAGATGAGGTCTCGCTGTGGCTCAGGCTGGTCTTAAACCTGTGTGCTCAAGCAATCTACCTGCCTCAGCCTCCCAAGTGCTAGAGACATTTTTTTTTTTTTTTTAGATGGAGTCTCACTTTGTCATCCGTGGTAGAGTCCCATGGTGTCATAGCTCACAGCAACCTCAGACTCTTGGGCTCAAATGATTCTCTTGTCTCAGGCTCCCGTGTAGCTGGGACTATAGGCACCTGCCACCATGCCCAGCTGTTTTTTTAGAGATGGGGTCTCACTCTTGCTCAGGCTGATCTCAAACTCCTGAGCTGAAGCAATTCACCCACCTCGGTCTCCTAGAGTGCTGAGATTACAGTTATGAGCCATCTTGCCTGGGCCCTGATATTTTATATAAATAGAATCATACAATATATTGCCCCTTTGTGTGTATCTGGCTTCTCTCCTTTAGCATCATTTTCAAGGTTCAAACATGTTGTAGCATGCATTATAATTTATTTTATTTTTTAATAACATTATATTTTAATGCTGTATAATATTCCACTTTTGAGAGTCATTTACATTATATATGTGTGTGTTGTAAAGAATGCCACATCACTATCTTCATGCCTTTAATTCATATATTCTCTTGAATTATTTCCTTGGAATAAATTCCCATGGGTGGGATTACTGGGTCAAAGGGTATGAATATTTTTTATAGTTCTTGTCAATATTGCTCTCAAATTGTGGTGGCCAGAATTAAGTGCAATTCTGAGATGTGTTCAGACAGAATGGGATACTGTGGGGCTATTAAGTTCTCAAGGTCTGAACAATATATCATCCTTTAAATCAAACAGCCTAAGAATTTACTAGCTTTTTTGGTTGCTATATAAGTGTGACTCATTGGCATATAGCCAACGGAGGCTCTTAGATCTTTTCCTAGGACTTTATATTATAAAGCAGTGTTTTCATATACTCTAGGACTCAGGAGGCTTTTGAGGACTTCTTGATTTGAATTTAGTACAGTATTCTTAGTTATCTTTTTTTCTTTAGCAGTGGATGGTCCTAACAAGTTCATAGGAGGTATGGTTTATTGTACCCTTAGCTAAGAACTGCAGATGGCACTATAAGGCTGTCACAAAGGTAAAATATGTCCCTCTTCTGTCCCCTTTACTTTTTAAGAGAGAGCAGGTTCATTACCAGAGTTCAGTCCTCCCCTTTTGTTGAGACTGAACCAGCAACTGTGAAGTTGGATTTGGGGTGTTAAGGCAAGCTCCAATTGAGGCGTGTTTTTCAGTTGTCATTTAATCTGCTAGGGGAATCTGGAGCAGTCTATTTCACGTTAGAGCTTTGTTTGAACACACATCTAATGCCACTGCTTTGGCTTTTGAAGCTCACACCCTGAGAAACTGATTTTTGTTTTGTTTTGCTTTGTTCCACGTTCCTTGTGATCTTTTTCTCTCAGTTACTACAAGGGATCAAAACTTGTTCAACTGTTTTTTTTTTTTTTTT